CTTTTATCTAAAGAGAAGAACAGTTGCGAATATGATTGGATTGATTCACAGACCAAATAAACATGCATGTTAAATGTTTTTTTCTTTAGTTGTGGTATGTGAATCAGGGTCTTTCTGACCAATGACATACGTACATACATTTTATTTATAAAAAAATACATCTAATCAATACATATAATAAAATTTGAGTTGTATCTGTTTGTAATATCAAAAGACACATTCCAGATTTCGGAAAGATGATGTATTTGCGATGCTGCTAATGACAATCGCATTTAAAAAAATTGTCTGTCTGTTTGTCCGCAAGCCGTGTTTGTTCCGGGTAATCTCAGAAACGGCTGGGCCGATTTCGACCGAACTTTCACTGAAGGGTAGCCGACATAGACGGTCATATTATAGGGTACTTTTTTATAATTCCTCGCTTTTAAAATGCGTAACGGGTGGTCCAAATTTGCGCTAACAAAGTTTGCGGGCGAGAGCTCATAGTTTATAAACAGGTTCAAAAGCTCGTTACAGATGAGCGTTATCTTGGCAAAGCTTGGACGTCAGATAGTTGGCATACCGCACTGCTATCATTGTAAACAATAGCCGGACGCGTCTCCATTGTTTACTGTAGGTACGGCAATCATATCGGATGCGGTGAGAGGGACTAAGGTATCCCTGGAAGTTATTCTAGGACTATATTGAGAGCTTGTATGAAGTCAACCAACACGCAGTGGGCACACGTGGTTGACTATGCCTAGTCAACCCTAACTTAGGGTTGGCTCCAAGCCACTTAATGGGGACGTATGGTAATGACGAACACGTGTATGAATGACTATGGGCAGTCGTTTCGTTATTTAATTGAATTCAGGTGAATTTACTCGATTGCTATGTGTAAAATTACTAATAATGTCGTGATACAATGGGAATGCGTAAAATCAATAAAACAGTTCCCGTTGGGGCTTGGCAGGGCTGCGTGGCGACGTCACATGTTTCGTCTCCCGGGATAATAAAGTCTATTGTTAGCTATCCCGCGGGACGAGCATATCTCGCGGTACCGAGGAAGCATATCGAACTGCTGAGTGATGGAGTGCCTTGTGGTAGGTCGGCCGTTACGGTTGTGACATGGTAATTAAAATCTTTGATCTTTTATCAAAGTACAGAAGTTTACTAACATATCATTGCTAGGTATAGTTAGTTTTCACTATTCTTGTCCAGTTCATCTTACTAATATAAATGCGAATGTTCAGATGGATGGGTGTATCTTTGTTACAGTTTGTGGTTTAAACTGCTGAACGGATCTCGATGAAATTTGGCATAGATGTAGAGAATAGACCGAAAAAATACATAGGCTACTTGCTTTTGTTTTTTTTTTTATTACAAGCTGACGGAGTCGCGGCAAAAGCTGGTAATAAGTAAAACCTTTTTATTAATGCTTATTTCCACATTTATAACTGAATTTATAATTTATTAAAATAAAGATATAATGAAACTATGAAACGTATTTTATTTATCATTTCATTAAATATAACATTGTACTAGTTTTGAAGTTGGATGCACTTCAATGATTAAAATCGAAAGTGTCGTTTAAATAAATACAAGAGCAATTAGTGCACCCGCATACTGTTGATATAGAATCTAGGCCACGAATATAATATACGCTACGTCAAATTCAGTACAAATAAAATAATCTATACTCGAAGACAAAAAGTAATTGAAAACGAAAACGTATTAACTTTTACGAATCAAAAAAAACATAGTCCTAAATACGGTTTTCTAACCTCTTTGTTTCCACTATCATGCAAAGAAAGAAATATTATAATTTCGTGTACAAAATGTACGAAAACACTCCCATTCTCTAAATAATTCAATACAACAACACGCTGTCGTCATTAAAATGCCGATTCTGTTTGAACTACGAAAAAATATTTCGATCACTTTAATAAAAATTTATTGGAATTGGTGCGGAATCAATAACTAAAACTCGTCGGATTAAAAAATATATATACCATGGTACAAAGTATGCGAGAAAGCGGTTGAATGAATAATCGGTTACAATCAGAAATAATTAAATATGACAAAATTCTGAATCGTTAATTGGTTACAAAGGGAGACCCTTGGTATTACGGTATTATGCTTTTCAAATATCTTTGTGGCTCAAGGTCATTGGCACAATCGCAGTGCCCTTCCTTCGCTTCCAGCTACAGCTAGCTAAACTGAGCGCACCTAAAATTGAGCGGCCAAAATATATGAAAACAATAAACACATTTTCATACTATAAAATGTAAACTAGATCTGTACCAAGGGTCACTTAACGCGGCAATTAGCGCATTGCAGTTTCGAATTAAAAACCTACTTGTCCATCTTTCAAGGTGAAATTAAAGAAAAGTCTTATCTTAAATATTGTCAAAAAGAAACCCTTTTATTTGGAGTGTGTCTAATTGAAAAATTGTGAAAAAACGCAATCGCTTCTTTCTTCTACCACATCCCAGTGCAATATTTTCGGCGCGCGCGCATTCCCTCTTCGTTATTGTAATCAGAAACGTTGGCTCGAGCATCGAAGTCTGCTTTACCCCGCTGGAGTGTTGCCAGCTCTAATGTTAAAGATACAGTTAAATCTGACTCCCGTTTGTTTGTTTTTAGAGCATCTTCTAACGCATCGAGCTCTTTTACTGCGCTGTTACGTCGGAAGTGTTTAAATTATGTAATCGCAATGAATTTGCAGATTTAAAGACCAGAATTTGATAAAAATAGGCTGGGAAGTTAGAAGGAATAGAAAACATTTTTAATTAGCAGATTTAAAGGATAGTAGGCTAAAATTTAAAAAAAAAATCGAAAAGTAAAGTGGTTAAATATTCCTTAATGACAACGAAAGGTGAATCAACAGAAGCGCAGTTATCGTAGAAGCCCATTTTCAATCAGAATGTATAGAAATCATTGAAAGTTTTGTAAACATGAAGCTAAAGCGCTCGGAAGCTTACGTAAGCAACAAAGCTCGATACTCCGCGACCTTACGTAAATGTCACGTGTACTAAGTATCGATTGAAGTCTATTTTCAGAACTAAATAAAGAATTTACGTTACCTTCGACTAAGGGTTTTCCCAATCGATGAGTCATAACAAATGCAGGAAGTTACGAATAGAACATAATTTTGATTTAACGTAACAGGTCGCAGAAATTGAGTTTCGCTAGCGACTCCGTTCGCGTGGAATTAAAAAATTCCCCTACATCTTTACGAAATTTTATCGAAATCCGTTCAGCTGTTTGGGATACAAACTCTAACAAACATCCATCCATTAAACTTTCGCATTTGTATTAGTATGATGGCATAATAATTCCGACTTAAGGACATACTGTTATGTGTAGATTGTGAAATATTCGTTAAATAAACGTGTAATTTAAGAAATAAATGTTTTAGAAACAAAGACTCTTGTCTAGATTCTGAATACACTCGTAAATTCTAGCTACGAGATAATCTAAATACATAAATCTAGAAACATCGATTGCTACAGAAAGGGAATCCAAGTTGGCAATGTGCCAATGTCTCTTGGCTATCGGACTAGATATAATAAAACATTATATCTCACAAAACAACCCTGAAAATGTTGTTCAAACCTGTCATTTGGAATAAAAAGAATATGTCAACAAAAGAATTTCAATTGTCGCCAATTGACTTTTAAGCATAATTTAATTACTTTCGTCTATACAAGCTGTTAGAAAGTTAACTAAATTTAGCTTTATTATACCACACCTTTGGACACTATAGTACGTTTGTTATCGAGAAAATACTCCACATCGTCGTTATTAGAGTCTTAGTACGCGGTCACATAATGTTGCATAGAATTTTATAGCCCAATAATCGTTCGGAACAAGCTGTTTCATTAAGTCGGTGCTTTATTCGATACCCGTAAGTACCTATAAAATTTACTCCTACTTTCTACTTTGATTGTTGCGGAATAGGTAATTTTTTTAACAAAGGAATCAATAGTTATTGTTTCGATTAAATTTTTAGTTGGCTTTGCAATTAAAAATATAATTCTGGAATAAATTCTCGATAAAAATGCGATCACAAACAATTTATTTTAGATGGACTACACCCTATTTATTTTAGGGATGTAAGATGGCCGCTTATTCGTTAGCTAACTACTATAAAAATCTATGATGATAAACGAGAAAGAAGTACTTATAGCGTCTACATTCCAGACTATATCGGGCAACTAAATCTACCACCGCAAGCCTCCCTCAGTACAAGTTACGTAACACCATTTGACCCAAATATCCACGTTGAATCTCCGAGCTAGAATTTTCTAGAAAATTCTGTGATATTTGAATAACTTCAAGCTAACGTAATGCCTTTTTAAACAATTCTTTACATTTTCGAAGTACATTTCCGAACCAAATGGAAGATCGGATATAACTAGATATGGAAAGGAAATTGTTATCGGCTTCGTAGCGTTTCCAATTTTCAATACCCCTTTGTTGGATGTAGGTCAAGGGCATTGATATAGGCGTCGACAATGTACAGGTAACATTTCCAGAGATAATAATTTGAGTTGTTTCAGTCCACGAGAATGTTTGATATAACTGTTTAATTTAAAATTTTTAAATTGTTAAACGGAAAGTATTTTGATCTGATTAAAATATAATTTAGGATATAAAAGTATATAAATATTAGCGTATAAATTTAAATAGATGGAGATTACGGTTTATATTAACCGCCAGTTAACGGATTATATCCACAAAGGTATTAAATTGCGACAGGCGCCCAGACAGCGGTTTGAGTACTAGGCTACTAGCCATAACCACATGCGGTTTGGATTTAATTTATCGATATATTAAGAATTTTTTACTAAAAGCTTCTTTATAGGTGTAAAATCCGCAACAAAAAATATCGCAACGAATTTGATAAAACAATTTCAAGCAATTATTTGATTTCCACAAAAAAGAAATACCTGAAATCACCAGATATTGATATGTATTTGGTTCAAGAGCATTCGTAAATAATTATGGTATTTACTTACATGGCGTAACCGACAGCAATGGCGATGTACCACAGAGTGAAAACTATGATCCCTGAACCGCTGTCCCCTTCTGCCATGTTTCTTGCTGGTGAGGAAGATGATGATCTAGCGAAGAAGGAAATTTTAAGCACAACAATCATTTACTAACCGATGGGGCACAACCCCTAAGGGTTGATTAGGCCTTAGGCCTGCAGTTAGACAATTCGAAAATCGAAACACAAAAACGTATAAAAAGTACAAAGAGAAGTTTGTCAAACGTTCTTTAAGCATTCTGTAATCAAAAGCGTAGGTAACACCGCGGTAGTAGAATGTAGTGTACATTTATGAGTTTGATCCTTGGATGTAGTTTCATAAAGCAAAAAGAAAAACGCTAGATGATCCCATCTGAAAATAGTGATGTGGCTGAAATATACACGCTGGTAAAGTAAACGCCGAATCCCACTATAAAAGGTTATAGATAGTTTAAAGCTAGCTTTTTCCTGCGTCTTTGTATGTAGCCTATATGTTTAGATTTTTTTCTATATCTACGGATATCTTTCAAAAAACATGCATCTAACCATCTGTACTTCCACATTTATAGTATTCGTAATGTAATAAGAATACTAGATTTTTTAGACATTTCATAAGCACTAACGTTACAACAGTCTTAGCGACAGTGGTAGTTCTCGGAGCGGGTTGAGCAGCTCTAGGTTTATTCGGTGTGGTTGCTGGTCTTGTCGTTGCTGGTACATTTTCCTTTTTTACTTCACATATCGACAATAATTTTGAAAATGCTAATGACAGCTGTCCAACGCCAAAACTCATCTTGTTTTATGTCATGTAAATTATTTTTTTTATCATTTTACGAGAATGACAGATAAAATTTAATAATTATACGCGTTAAGCGGCGTATGTTATGCGACAAGACGATGGGGACATATACCAGAAAGTGTTAAGACTATCTACAAAGGTAGAGGAAGACCAAAGAAAGTATGGATGGATTGCGTGAAAGAGGATATGCCTCAGCGAGTGGATTCAGATATGACGGCTGATAGAGATGTATGGGAGAGCAGCACATACTGTGCCGACCCTCAGTAAGGGTCAGTAAATTGTTTTATGGAAGGTTTCTTGTCGCTCTAGTATTAACTATTTCCATGCAGTTTTCCTTGTAGTCCATGTAATGCCAGCCCTTTTCAACAATTCGATGGCTCCTACGAAAACTATCGTATGTTTGAAATGCAAATTTTTCAAAACAAAACTTTTTAACAATTATAACGACGCACAAAACAATCTAGAGTTGTTTTTGTTATTTTTAAATGACTAATATTTATCAGGCTACTTTAAATATAACACGAGATGTAAATTGCAGAATTGCGGCTTACTATAATATACGTAGGAACCTATCGATATTATAAAATAACCAATACTTTTACTATAAAAATTGAAATAAAAATTAAAACTAGATGCATCAAAGAAGTTTGCGAATTGAATAAGCTGTATTTTATATAATTAGTGACATTTTACTTACCTTTGATTCTTTAATATAATTTATACTAAAGTCTGGATGGTCATGATATGTCATGTCGTGTCGTGTCATGTCGTGTCGTGTCGTGTCGTGTCGTGTCGTGTCGTGTCGTGTCATGATAATGTCCCAAAAATTAATAAAAACATTTAACCATAGATAAATTTTATTTTTGTAACACTTATAAAAATGTATAAAGATTACATTACATTCACAAAATATACATAAATCCCCTTATTTATATGATTTATACTTTCTTATTACTAAACATATTCATGGCAACAAAGAATTATTTTTTTTCTTTTATACTTCTGTATTATAGATTACATAATATTTAGATTTTTAAACTTAAATATAGCCGAAAAAAACATGTGAAGTTAAAACAAGTTAAGGCAAGAAAGGTTGTATTAACATATTTTTCAAGGGCCTGTCCCACCACTGGCTGATAGAGGCTCAGATAGCATAAAATTGACGTCACTGTCAGATAAGATAACAAAATCGGATATTTCCATCACATATTTTACACGTTGGATTGTTATCAGACAATCTACGATCTGGTGGGACAGGCCGATGTGATTATCTCAAGCGGCAACACCAAATCCTTTCTGAAGTTTGTGAAGATATTCCTTGCGGCAGTCCATGTCGTCTGCGGGTCTGTTGTACGGCAGCCACACCGGCTCGCCCACAAAGTAACGATACGCTTTCAGATAATTCTGGAAAAACACAAATAACCTTTTTTATGACAGCAAATAACCAAGTGGCCACCTTAATCCGCCTAAATGGCGAAACAACCGCATCCATCCCATCCTTTCCTCTTAAGAAAAGGGTGAAAAGGGCTAAAATCAGACCTTCCGGCATCACCCTTATCAAACGAAACACGGAATATCTTCCACTCGTGTAAATTTATTTATCATTAGCTGTTGCTCGCGACTTCGTCCACGTTAAATTAAAATATAAAATCATGTTACTCAGTATTATACCTTTCTAATCATGAAATTTTTTTTGAAATCGGCCCAGTAATTTTTGAGTTATTTCAATACATATAAAAATACAAATCTTTCCTCTTTATAATATTAGTATATGCAAATGTCAAAATGACATGACATGATGACATACTATGGCAACCTTGCTTCCTTGATGTTGGCAGCAACTTATGGTCTCTTTCCCACATTAGGGATTCTATCCAAAATTACCCCCTAAGTTTAATGGCGTGAAAACATGTAGCCTAAAGCGTGACGCAAGTGTAGGGCTTTTTATTAAAAAAAGAATAATTCAAAAATGTGCTGTAATAGCTGACAACTTAGGCAACAAAGAAGTGTGTGTTTAGGCTTTATTATAATAGTATAGATAATCCTGTTTCTAATGGCGGAAAACTTTAAATTGATTTAGCAGTTATCAGCTTTACAAATAAACGCAGAATAAATTTAAAGTAAGGAATAAACTTAGTATATGCAAAAATTGTACTAATATTTGCTTATACTCAGAAAACTGTAACTTTAAACTTATGCCACATTTAATTGTTTGCAAGATTTAAAGTTCAAATTACTTACATTAGTATCAACAGTGAAGCGATGGTAACTGCCACTGGGGATGATAATCAAGTCTCCGGGAGTCACCAGGATGCGGATCCATTGGTCACTGTCATCTCGGATGTCAAAGTAACCGGAACCTTCCACTGCAAACCTGAAATGCAAAAAAATCATATATTAGTATAGGATATTGGATCATGGGGAACCATATCAATTGTTTTATAAAACCCTATTATTGTATTAGGCTGACTGTAAACTAAGCGACGGTAATGTTTTATAGTAATTTTGGTTTATAATATAAGGTGGCAAACAAGCAAGCCACCGTATGAATCTACCAAAATGGAAAGTGACCGCTACCCATAAACATCCGCAATTGCAGATGCATTGCCTACCCTTAATTGATGCAGGAGGACACGCACATAAAGAGAATATTTCCCCTTTGTATCGTCTCCTCCACCAACAAATCCACTTTTCCCTTCCCATCCTTTCTTATTAAGAAAAGGGTGGAAAGGGAAAAGGATTAAAATTAGGCCTTTGGCACCACACTCATCAGACAAACGCGGAATTGCTTTCACTTTACGCCTGTTGTCTGTGTGGTCGTGGTATTACACCGGGCATGCCAGCCCATTGATGCAAAGATGTTAAAGCGGGCTCTACCACTGTTAAATAAGTAGTAATTTAAGAAAGTGTTTTACCAATAACATTTTTGGAAAAATACATGTTTTGTTGACAAAATTGTGATACATTCGTTACAATTGGATCACAATGATAAATGTGTGTTTTTACTTAGACATTAAGCTTTACAAAAGTTGTGAAATAAATAACTTGTTTACCTTATTTCTTCATCAGTATGCAAATGTTCTTTATAAAATGCTTTCAATTTGTCCTCGTAGTTCGGCAGGCAGTCTTTTGAGACAGTTATTTGATCCTCATAGCTGTAACCTCTCTCTTTCTTTAGTTTCTCCAATACACCATCCGTGTTAAATGTCTCCACATTTAACTGTAATTTTTTAAAGCATTTAAAAATTATCAATCATCATGTAAATATTATAAATGCGAAAGTTACGATGGATGGATGGATGTTTGCGTTTGTAGCCTAAACTGCTGAACGGATCTCCATGAAATTTGGTATAGATATAGAGGGTAGTCTGGAAGAACACATAGAGTACATTGCATTGCATTTGTTTTCTTAATTCCACGTGGACAAAGTCGAAAGTCAAAAGCTAGTTGTAATATAAAAACAGTTATAAATTATCTATATTTGAAAAAACTAAGGGTAATATTATGTTTTAGTATCCTTACAAATTGTTAACAGTTAAAGTTAGTAGATTAGACAAATCTTTAGAAACAAATAAATAAGAGTTTTACTGTAAGAATGAGTTTTAAAATTATATAACAATATACATCTTTTACTATACCAAGAGCTGTTTTATTATATATAAATTCTAATGTTACGGATGTAATGAGTTGAATCGTGGTTCTTAAACGACGCAAAAAGGATGCCCGTGACCTTCACAGGTTATCGAGATAATAAGATAAATTATACATTTTAGGCTAATTTTTACATAACAATGGATTTCCTTACACATTTTACAAATGAATATAGCTAATGTATTGGAGGTTTCCCTTTTATTAAAAGTTTAACCGGTGTAAGTAAATTTACCTTAAAATATTCGATGCCAGTTTTCTTATATAAATCCTCTATGGAAATAAATTCTGGAGGATTCCTGTGGTGCTCTAAACGTTGGTCTGTGTTTTCATTATCCATGTACCAGGCCTTTACCATTTTTATTCCAGTAATTTAATTTATAAGAGAAAGCCAAACTTTAAACTTTATAAAACAACACTTCAATCTGTTTTGACACTTATTTAAGCAAGGCCAAAGAGTATCTTAGTGACATTTTTGTAATAGTCAGAGTGGGTATTAGGTAAATAACGAAAGTATAAACAAAAAGTATTTAAAAGCATTTTATTTATTTCTTATTGCACAGTTCACAAGTAAAAAATCAATTTTCAGAACTGAAGCCTTCCTTTTGTTGTTCGACATATTTCTTACGGCAGGCCATGTCGTCCGCCGGCCGGTTGTGTGTGAGCCAACCTGGCTCATCTTCGTACAAGCGTCGAGCTCTCAAGTAATTCTAGAAAAAACACAAAGAATTTGAATTAACAGACATATAGGTATTTTATGTCTAATCAAGTATTACGGATGGAAGTTCTCCTCAATGAATTAAGTTAACACAAACATACACGTAATCGTTAACCAAACGCTAGCAACTATGTTCTATCTTGCTCATGAAATTAAATTTAATTGGCATACATTGTTGTCGAGGGTGAAACGATGGTAGCTCCCTCTTGGTATGATAATGAGGTCTCCGGGAGTCACTTTGATGCGAATCCACTCGTCGAGTCCGTCTCGAATATCAAAGTAACCAGATCCTTCTGTAACAAGCCTGGAACATACAATTTTTAAAATTGGAGTAGAGATACAACTGTCTACGTCGCTTAAGGAACACATTTCTTTATCTGGAAATGGTTAAATTACAGTCTCATTTAAAAACAATGTAATAATAAAACACGTCACTTCTCGAGTCTTTTGTTGTTGACGCATTTTATGAAATCTTACCTGACCTCTTCATCGGCATGCAAGTGTTCCGTAAAGAAAGATTTCAATTTTTCATCATAGTCTGGTAAACATTCTTTAGAAATAGTTATTTCGTCTTCATATGTATATCCGTGTTCTTTCTTTATCTTCTCCAGTACTCCATCTGATTCGTATGTCTCCAAATCTAACTGAAATGATTTGAAAGGTCTTGTATGTACGAGTTTAATGAATTCCAACCTATTACGTTGGCAATCTATAAGGTTTAAGACGATCATTCACTTTTAAAAGTTTCTCTAATGTAAAGATCAATTTAAGAGTTCGCTTGCAGGCAAACAATGTACAGAATAAATGTTCAAGGAATAGAGTCTTTGAACTTCAAGGCTTTCAAAATGAATCTGACGTGACCAAACTTTACGTAAAACTCATCTTATCAACTGGATCAACGAACCTGACCTACCATCACACTTGCACTTTGTCATTGCGATTAAAAGTGTATCATGTTAAAAGAAACAAAATACATCAAAACATTGTAAAATAACGAACACAATATTTATCACTAGCTTTCGCCAGCGACTCCGTCCGCGTGGAATTAAAATAAACAAAAGTGAGTAGCCTATGTATTCTTCCAGATTATTTTTTACATCTCTACTAAATTTCATAGAAATCCGTTCAGCCGTTTAGGCGACAAACTCTAACTAACATCCATCTAAACTTTTACATCGTACTAATACTAATCATACTAATATTATAAATGCGAAAGTTTAGATGGATGGATGTTTGCTAGAGTTTGTAGCCCAAACGGCTGAACGGATTTCGAAGAAATTTGTCATAGACGTAGTGGATAGTCTGGAAGAACCCATAAGCTATTCAGTTTTGTTTTTAAGTCCACGCGGACGAAAGCTAGTTTATAACATTAGTAAGATTTTTCATAGTTACTTACTTTGAATAGCACCACGCCAGTCTTCTTGGGCAATTCTTCAATAGAAATAAATTTCGGTGGGTTCCTTTGATGTTCTGCGCGCGGATCGGTTTTATCATAGTCCATGTACCAGGCTTTTACCATAATGACCGAATTGTTTTTTAACTACACAAAGTTAACCTGCTGCAAGAAACTGCAGAACGGAATGTAGAATCTTGTCGTTAACTTACATTTATATTATTTACTATTTTAACCTTATCTTTGTTTTGAATTGTTTATATATCTATACATATAATAAAATGGGAGCGTCTGTTTGTATATCAAAAGAAAAAAATTCGATTTCGGAAAGATGATGTATTTGCGTTGCTAATAACGATAATTGCATTTAGTTATTTTTTGTCTGTCCGCAAGCCACGTTTGATCCGGGTAATATCCGAAACGGCTTGACCGATTCACTGAAGGTTACTCACTATAGGTTACTTATCTTAATATTGCGTGGACGAAGTCGGGGGAAACTGCTAGTCAATTTAAAATGTTATGTGCAACCACTGATGCTCCCACATTTACTATCAGTTTTTAGTTCAATGCACTATAAATATGAATTGATCAAATATGAATGCATTTTTATTAATTTGCTTGCTAAAGCTTATTTTTAAGAATTTACGACATGAATAAATAAATAAATAAAATAAATAAATAAAAACCTCTTTATTGCCATCCAAGAATACACAGAGTTGTACAAAATAAAAAACATACATGAAAAAATTATAACAGATGGCAAAAGGGGGAGGCTCAAATAAAACCACTTTGCAGGTAAAAATAAATTTAATATGTTAAATTCTATATCATTACAATGGATTATTTTAAAACGACTCGTTATGTTACATTTCAATGGGGTTATAACTGGGGCCAATACTTTGGTATGGTAGCGGTCAAGTTGGCACGTCGTATAATATAGTACTCTAGTTTCTGGAGTGCCAACTTAAATACCGGGTGCTATAACTTAGTCAACTAAGTTTATATTAACTATTTAAAGATTTTAATTAAATTTCTGAATTAATGGAAAAAGTATTATATTCATATTATATTTATTTTGACAATTTATAACAAGATACAGTATAATTTTCTGATATGAATGTTTTATAGCTATTATATAGAAAAAAAAAATAAAAATAGGACACAATTAAGTACTAAAATGTATCCTATTTTAATATACATTTACAACAAGAAAGCAAAATATTTAGCCACATGCTAATACAAAATCTAGAGAGAAATACAAATATTTATATTAAAATGTATGGAAAAACTTATTTCATCAATACATGAAGTAAATATACTTTACTTATAAAATGAATGATGAAATGGTAATGGCATGTTAACAAGTATAGACCGACAAGGATATCTGACCTGATAGGCATAAGTCACACTAACAGCTCACTAGCGCTATCAGCCAGTGGTGGGACAGACCCTAACAGTGGTAAAGCCCACTATAACATAGAACAGTAGCGGCTCAACTACTCAGAAGACAAGCGTGAAGTGGAAGCAATTCCGCGTTACAACTGACGATTGTGGTGCCGGAGGCCTAATTTTAGTCCCTATTCCTTTCCACCCTTTTTTAAAAGGGAAGGATGGGAAGGGTAAGACGGCGGAGAAGAGACAAAGAAAGGGAAAATATCATCTTTACATGGTTGTTCGTTTCCCACCTTATTAAATAAAAAAAGATGCCTAGTGTAGTTTTTTTATGTACAGATAATCAAGTAATAGACGAGAAGCATTATTCTAGTTTGGTTGTCAGAAAATATGTAAAACCCAATAGAACAGAAGAGAACAAGACAGCTACAATACAAGATTCTTATTAAATTAATTGGTGGCGCTAGTGAGCTGTTAAAGTTAGTTCTACTTTTGCTCACCGGGTCAAATAATTTGTCCGTCTATACCCGTATGTCGACTGCAGACATGTCTCTGTTTTATTCAAACAATGAAAGAGATGACTATATGTTCCATTAGAAACAAAATTATATTTATTACTTTTACACAAAAACATTAACAATAAATAAAATAACATGCGAATGGATAAAATCATTGATAATCAAATTTCACTGGGAAATAAATAACATTGAAATGTAAGCATAAAAATTAATTAAAATCACAACATAACATAGGGACGGAGGATAAAAATAATTACTCGGTAATAAGCAATTTATTAAAATTGCTTATTACCGATTTACACACAATTTTTTTTAGACAAATTTAAGTTTATTTATGTATTAACACAATTAATAAAAATTAAATAAATGCTAGGTGCAATTAAAGCTAGTTAATGTAATTAAACCGAAATTATTTATCTGTGTACAGCTAAATTATAAATGATATTTTGAGATCAAATTCTTGCTTCTACTAATGTAAATCAGTATGGATAGATGGCGCTGTTTCAACATTTTTTACGTGACTCAAAAACGAAATAATTCTTAAGGTTTTAATAGAATTTTAAGAAACAATTATTGCTATATTAAACAACGTTTTTAAAATACATTATTACATACATTACGATACAAGCCTAATTTTACAGCAGAATTTCATAATCAGGTTAAAAATTATCTTCAAATTTTCAAGTTAATACTGTTTATTTGCGTTTTACCACATGTATACTAGAAATATATCTTTTATAGTAATTTTAAACGAATAAAAAAAATCATGAAAAAAAACCCCTATAAATTGTTAGAAGATTCTGTAACTTTTCTATGGCAAATAAGAAAGTAAAGTAATATTTTTTTCCATTAAAATATTCCATCAAACAAATACAGATTAAAAATAAATAACAAACTGCAAAAATAACCAATGTTATAACATAACCACAAATTTCAAAATCCTCTCAATATTTCGGCAAAACGGAAATAATTGTTTTGCATAGTTTTTTTTTAAATATTGGTTAGGCTACAACTTTAATTATTGACAGATTTAAGCAAGAAAATACTATTAATTAATCAAATAAACTAAATACAACAAACAAATATCACAATGTTAAGTACTATATACAAATTAATATAAATTATTAAACGATATAAATCTAAAAATACACACATCTACATATTATTGTTTTTCACATTGTCACTAGAATTATATTACACTTCTAAATGTTTATATTCTCTGTTGAGATAGAAATCTTGTAAATAAACTGGCAACACTGAATGTCATAGACAATCATTATTATAATCTGTTTTCTGTAGAAACATTTTAGACTTTAGAATTATTGAAGGATGGATTTTAAGAAAATTACACCTTTTTATTTAAAAAGGCATAATTATAAAAAAAATGACGTTCCTAAGAACATGGATGTTTTTCAATATTATATTATAATCCTTCACAATTTCAATTTCATAGATAACATAGGTAGAATTTAATTAAATTCATGTTTTTTTTTCCAATCACTGAAGTTGTCTACAACAACATAAAAATGGTCTGTTTTAAAAAAAATCTCTACAAACAATTAATTTAGTAGTGCCACAATTAGGGTTGTAAGTTTAGTTGGAGAATAGTTGCCAAAACATTTACAAGACCTTGCACAGTCGAAAGTTGTCCATCATAAATTGGTCTCGACTAGAGTTTGGTGTGCTTGACGGTGTCGGTCCAGTAATTCTGGATGGTCATCGCCTCCAAAGAGTTAAGGAAGGAATCGTTATCAAGACTGTACATCTCTTCAGAGTTGTCCTGAAATTGAAAACATTAGTACGTTAAATACGAACACTTAAATAATCTACAGAAATAATACACGATATGTTTATAGTTAACGAATCTAATGGTCAGTTTCTCAGCTAGTTTTAACTATTCGTTAGTGTTTTTGGTATAACTTCTTGAAATGAGTTTCCGAACTACGTAACTAGAGTTTCAATCCGTTGAAACTTAAGTCAACTTAACACTAATGAACCACTAAGTAACAATAAAACAAATGGAAACATCAGAAACCCAGCGTTAGCTAGTAAAATTAGTGAACCGTTTTTAAGAAACTTCGAAAATGACGTAGTGACATTTATGACTTGAGAAATTATCAGCATTTTGGACATTTTGACACAAACTAGTACTTACTCTAATAGTGCTGTCGTCCAGGTACCCACTGGAGTCAGGATTGGAACACTTATCGTTGAGGGTCTGCGGCTTGTTGAGGTACCGGCGTCGGTACAACACGAAGCCTGTACTGCCAGCCAACGCAGTCAGCACCAACGCAGCAAACGATATACCAGCGATCGCGCCAGTGTCCATCCTGTTCCCCTGCTCTATTATTTGTCTAGAAGATTCTATGATTGGCGGCATCTTTGTCTGCAGCAACGTCGTTTCTAAAGAAAGCGGTTTCTCCGTCACGATCCTGCTCTCCGATATCCCTTCGAGATTCGTGTCGTCCCTTACTGAGTCGGGTGTCAGATTTCGCTTTCGTGAACTGAACGTTGCGTTCTGTGGATCTGTTAGTGGGTCTATTAATGTTAGTAGCGTTGTATTCTTTGTTGTATTTTGTAGTCCAATGCTTGCATTGGTGATGTCAGTCGTGTTGATTTTTGTCCACTTTACTGGCGATACTTGGGTGGTGTTTGGTTGTGTGGGTTCGGTGGTGTTGGTAGTCGGTGCCATGGTTGTTATTGGTGTAGTGTCGGTGGTGTTTGTGTTGGTGGTTGTAGGTGGTGTATATGGGAGGGGGAGGGGCGCGGCCTTGGTGAAGTACATGGCGCGCGGCTGGCGTTCCACGTGAGGTTGCATCGTCTCAGCCTCCTCGGCAACCGTCGGCGCGGGCTGAAGAACCCCAGATTGCGGCGCACCGACCGCTATTCCGCTGCTTGCTGAAATTGATACAGAACCCTTTGTTAATATTACATAAAATATTATAAGGAGGAAAACTTTGTTTGATTATAATGAATAGGGTCAAAAACTACTGGGCCGATTTGAAAAATTCTTTTACCGTTGGAAAGGTAATTTATCTGTGAGTAACAAAGGCTATATTTTTTCATTTCTTTATTATTACTATTTAATTTCACGCGGACGGAGTCGGGCAATAGCTAGTATTACATAAAATTCAAATAAATGACCTCTTTGAGTACCACACATTGAGTAAAAACCACAAATTGTTTTGCATAATTTTTATTTAAATTCTATAGCATAAGGTTATGGTACGTAGGGCTTCGGCCTATGTTACCCGTATCGTAATAAAACGTCTCTGGTATTCAGAGATATTCAAACATTCTGCGAAAATGGAATAAATAAAAGGATATTTCATGAAAAGCCGAGTCATTATCATAAATATGAGAGGCCAGACAATATTCCTATCTCACAACGAGCCGAACAATGGCGAGTCAAACATAAACGAATCATAAAACCATACTCTTTGCTAAAATTACATATATAGGAGAAAATGTCGAAGATAATTCTAGTACTACTACCTCTAGGAATATTATAGCTTTTATCAGAAAAAAATACGGCTACAAATCCTTACCTAAGATTCGAAGAAACATAAAACAGTCTTTACGTAATACTAAATTAGACTTTTGGGTTATTTTTTCCGAATACTTCAAGGTTAGCGTCCAATTTCATTGACTCCCAGATCTGGTATTGCTAAATAAATAATCAAATTCATAATATAAAGATAACTCTGATATCTACGCCACAAACATAGATTCTAAATGCAATATTCGGTAATTAAAATGGTACATTCCTAGTTCAACAAGTGATTATTTTTGCTATCAAGTAACATTTTGCAAACATTATTGCGTTCCAGTTTGAAAGGCGAATAGGCTAATGATTGGGTTTGCAAGAAACACCATCTAGCCATCTAGTTGTATCGTACTTTAACGGAAACTGTACTGCGCAATTTTTATTTTATTTAAACATCAAATTATTTGCAACATTCAAATTGCAAGCACCAAGATGTGAGTCTAAACCATTTACAAAACTAAATGAAAAACAATCTTTATATGTTTTACAATACCACAGTGGAAACCAACAATTAATCCATATTAACAACGTAGAAGCCGGTCAATTAAGTTCTCACATGAATTGTCCGTAGGTAACCTGATTGTGAGAGTGCGTGGTCGCGGTACGTAATGCGCTTAGCTGGTACCGAGTGGTAAGCTGATCCGAATGATAGAACATTTTCGTCGGACACACAAAGTAGATTTAATCACTATGGATATATTTATGGTTTTATCCATGTAGCTGGGTAATGCATGCTAAGGTTATGTAGTCTCACTTTATTTGAAGTTATACACTGACCTCTATGCTATAAAGATCTATGGATTTGTTCTTAGTTAAGTTAAGTGGTTAAAGTGATAACCTTACCAATTGTAACCGTAACCGAATTCTATACTAGAAGTTGAATTAACTTGTTAGATTTTTAACGCAGTCATAAATAAGGAGCTAAGACAGGTTGACAGAAAACCCCATATATTTCATCCGTTTCACTCGTTCCACAAAAAGAGATATATTACGAAGTCGATCGAGAAAACTCTGATGTAAAATGGAACAGGGTTACATAAGTGTCGCGAATGAGCATAACTAGCAAACGTGATAATACGTTGGGTACAGTCGCAAACACTGGTCATATGCATTTTTATTGACACCACAAAAATATGGGAAAAATAAAAGAAAAAGAACGTTGCGTCTTGCAGGGAATTTGCAATAAGTAGCAAATACAATTAAATCCTGGTGTTTCAAGCTAAACTTTTAAGTCTAAAGTCACTTTCTTTAAACTAGTAATAAAATATTAAAGACAATTTTTGTTTATTGCTACTAAATTTTACAGCCCGAAGAGTAAACTGTGCCTGGGTTTTGTATATTTTTATAACAACAAAAGTAACATAGTGATATTTGCACTTGAGTGTACGTGTTAATATTGGGGTTGCAACGCTATTGTTTGCGTTTGAATAGCGTATTGACCTGTTCACAGCTTCGCAATGGGGGCGTCGAGTGTACAGGCGTTTCAGATTGATATCGCCTCTGACCGCTTTGGAAGTTATGCAATCCATTTTGTATACCGTCGGAAATAACATTAAACATACGTATATCTTTTGTGATATTCAATATCTAAGGGATTTTAACCGATTCGCAGAATTCTTAGACTATGTATAGAAAAGACTTTATTCTCTCATTGGATGAAAAATAGAAACGCAAACAATTTTTTTTTTGAACTAAGTAAAATGACTGCAACTTCAATTTTAGTTCAGGATAGGTCAGGTCTCTAATCCAACGTCAAAATCTACAAACTGTAAACTGCAGCGGTATATTTATCGTGCGTGTGGACACCCCTCTTGTATGCGTAGACACCCCTTTTGTGCTGAAGCCGTACAAAAGATAATCCGGTTAAGAAGCCTGTCACATTAACAGTGACGTTTGGTTAAGATCAAGTCAAGGGTAATTTCATTAGCAGGGTAATCACACGCAAACACACATACGAATATATGATTTTTAACTGTTTTGGTAGAGCAAATAAAGGAATTAGTTAAGTTTCTTTATTGTTTCGTAATTTAAAAACTATAAATTATGTTTTTGACGTCAAAAGTAAAGCGATGTAAAACGAATCAAGTTTTATCGATGTACGATAACATTATAAACAAAATCTCCGGAAATAAGCGGAATGCATGAAACATTAAACAAAAAAACATTGTAACTACATGAAAATCAATTAATTTGGCTTAAATATTTCACACATTTTTCTAAATGGGCATAAAACTTGGGTTTGTGGCAGAAGATTTATGCAAAATACGAGACGTCTCGAAACTTTAGATATGGCGGGTAATGCCTTCTTCAGACAGTATGCAAATAAGGTAATTGATACGCGTAGATCAAGAAAAAATCGTCAAGGATTACCATCACTTTCGTTTTATTAGAGAATAACAGAGATAGAAACATAATTTTCGGCAGTGGAACATTAAGGGCATATATGGAGGTGCGCACACTACTCGATTTTAGTTGTGCAACTAAACAGTTGAATTGGCTGCGAAACAATCGACAATCGCACAGCTGTTGTGCGATTATTTAGTGTCAAGGTGTGCCCCGCTCTTAGGTAAATACTTAACAATTCTCTTTTATTCTCTTCGCCTTTTGATATCGCTTCAATATCGGGCTCCAAGTCGTCGGGAGGATAATGTATGCTAATACGGAAGGCACTTGTCAAAGAATACGTGACGTCACAAATAAGAAATAGGTTAACATAAAAAGGTTTCACTTCCTTTTTCGTGAATGTATTTATATTTAGTATTTGTTATACTTGTGTGGAGTATTTTAAGTTGGCATTTGTTTTGTTTTTACTATTAACATAAAAAAATGATTAAAAAACCGTTTAATTGCATACAAGTGCATAGTGTCGTGCTATTTTAGAGTTCCGGTTCGATTACCTTCCTGTGTCCTTTTTTGGATAACTCACTTCCTATAGTAATTAAAACGTTAAACCCAGCCCTATTTAGTTTGCATATGACAATTTTAGATACCGTTATGTGCAGACGTAGGACATCGTACTAACTCCTAAATACACAATTAATAATTATTATGACATTAGTAAAAAACTAGTTTATAAAAACATTGAGATAAAATAGCAAAAAAGCGGCTAGTATTATTTCTAACAATTTGTTCAAGGAGTAATCATAAACTATGCTAATATTATAAAGTGGAAAGATTCATATTTTTTGGTTTTTGTATGAATTTGATTCACGCAAAAACGAATGGGCCGATTTTAAAAATTCTTTCATTATTAGAAAGGTAATTTACCTGGGAGTAACAAAGGCTATATTTTATCAACAGCTAGAAGATACTATGTCGGATATTAATGGCCGGTTTCTGAGCCGGTTTAACCATTGGTTAGTGTTTCTGGTCCAATATATTCATGAAATGCGTTTCCGAACTACAAAACTTGGATTTTACTCCGTCGAAACTTAGTTCACCGTAGTACTAATGTCGCTAGGTAATGATAAAATTTTAAAACTTTAAAAACCCAGCATAAATCAGATATGTTAATTACACATATACTTGAAATAGCACAAAACCTTCACTATAGACCTCATGATGTGATCTTGAACTGAACAATGTTATCGAATATATTGTTTTTATATTCCCATCAAAAGATAATGTACGAAGAATGGACAATTAAATGAACATGTATGGCGACGATTGACCACGAAACCAAGTCATTGTTTACATTAAGAACTTACGTTTTTTTTCAAGATAAAAATCCATAATGTGCATACCTAGATGACGAAATAACAATAGTGAGATAGTCCCTATGTTATAAAACAGCCTCGTTAATGCGAATCTAACTTCTAAAAGGCTATTCATGAAATTTACACGTAGTAGCGGATTTACTTGATTCATATCGCAATATATTAAGACGAGAAAAAAGATTATGGCTTATTAAAGTCTATCTATTGCTCGCGACTTTAGAGAATTAAAATCGGTCCAGTAGTTTCTGAATTAATTCAATACATATCTTTAAAACAATCTTTCCTCTTTATATTAGTATAGATATATCAATAAAATTTAAAAATGATTACCTATTAAAGACAGCAACATCGTCACCCAGAACCAGTGCATCCACCAGTGCAGCGTCATGACGGCGTCGTCGCAAGGTCTGTTGCACCCGCGCTGCAACAAATAACATCAACTTGAAACAAATACAAATGTTGAAGTATAAACTGACAGCAACTAGATCTTTTTTATATCATAAGGTGGCAAACGAACAAGCTGCCACCTGAATCCGCCAAAATGGCGAAGCGACCGCTGCTCATAGGCATTCGCAATAGCAGATTCGTTGCATACCCTTATTGTTGGAAGATGAGACGTACATAAAAAGGATATTACCCCTTCCTATGCGTCTTCATCACCGTCAAGTCCACCTTCCCTACCGATTCTTTTCTTATAAGAAAAAGGGTAAGAAGGAAAAGGGACTAAAGTTGGGCCTCTGGCACCACACTCATCAGACGAAACGCGAGTTTGAAACTTCCACTTCACTCCTGTCTTCTGTGTAGTCGTGGTATTTCACCGGGCGAGCCGACCCTTTCGTGCGAAGATGTTAAAGCGGGTTTTACTACTGTTTAGATAACTAAAAGAATATTTAAACAAACGTCAGTGTCTGTTAATGAAGCCATTCTTACGACGCCTACGAGGGGACTCATTAGGGAGACATAGTTTTAAGATCAAACGATAAAGCAAAGAAAGAAAAGAAATGTCGACACATTCTGTTTTAAGGTCAAAGTACTTGAGAACGTTTTGCTGACTGCAACAATGGCACAGGGCTTATTAAGTAACATTGTTAGCGACACTGAATGACACTCAAGTGTCAAGTTAAGAAAGATGTAGCGAATTTTTAAAACAATCCAAGACTAAAAAGTGTGAAATGTTGAATTCCTTATTATCTGCTTACTTTGTAAATTACTGAATGTAGAGCATCTATAGAAAACTATCCTCGAGATTTCATTTTTTTATGACATGATTCATATTGATGTTATTTAGTAAACTCTGGAGATGAAGAAAAGGTTTTTTGTTTTTTAGGCAATGGAAATATGCAGAAATAATGATAATAAGAATTTGTTTTATGCGACATGAAATCAATATAGATATTACCTGATATGTAATAAAGCGATATTGGTAAAAGATAATAATTTTTATAAAAACAAGATAACGTTTCTAATGAAGTCTTTACCTTCCGTATTTCGTACGTGCAGAAAACAAAACAATCACAAAAAAGGTTACAACAGAAATTGGTTTTAACAACATTTTTATATGAAAATGTCGCCAGGCGAGTCTCTGGACGTGTTAATATCACAAAATTCAAAGATATGAAACATACTAACACAAAACAATTGTGTAATATTTGACAATGTAAAATTACCAAAATGATAAATAGATGATAATATTAAGACATCAATCTGCCTATTAAATAACATAAATAAATTTATATTCAACTAGGTGTTCCTGTGGGGCTTTATTCACATGAAATTATGAAAACTTTATTTTATTGTCTACATTTGTTAAATTTTCAATAGCAAATGTCAAAATCACATGACATGACGAACCTTGATAATCTTGCTTTCTTGATGTTGGCAGCAACTTATGGTGTCTTTCCCACATTAGAATTTTTATCCAAAACATTTACCCCATAAGTTTAATGTTGTAAAAATATATAGCCTAAAGCGTGACGTAATTGTAAGGCTTTTTATTAAAAGAAAAATTTCAAAAATATGCTGTAATTGCTGACATTTTTTGCAACAAAGAAGTGTGTGTTTACGCTTTATTATAATAGTATAGAAGTATAGATTAATATTAACGCTCGTCTAGAGGATTAGATGTAAGACTGGCGTTCATTTATCGAAGCAGACGGCTGTATATTGCTGAGGAAACAAAATTTGCATCTCCTAGTTTTAATTAAGTTTCATCCGGGAACAGAGATTAATTATTCAGATCACAAAATCCGATAGGGGGTTTAAAACGACACAATTGAAGCTGTTAAACTTCTAATTTTATTAATATTATAAATGCGAAAGTTTTGATGGATAGATAGAATGGATGTTTGTTAGGATTTGTAGACTAAACGGCAAAACGGAATTCGATTAAATTTGGTATAGACGGATAGGATAGTGTGGAAAACACAAGGGCTACTCACTTCTTTTATTACTCGGGAACGGAGTCGCGGGCGAAAGCTAGTAGTTAATAATAAAAATTAATAAATTTATTATTACAGACTTTTATAAAAAATGCTGAACTTGTTAACATTTATGTGCAAGTGACATTATTTGTGTTAAACAATTATTATTTTTAAAAAGTTACTACTGCGTTTTATTTGAAAGGTTACTTGTGTTTGCAAAGGCAAAGCTGTTGCTTGGTAATTAATTTGCGCAAATAGTAAATGCATCCTGTTCCTTTACATGATTTAATTTATTTATTTACTCTATCAATTACATCGAGACTTTTAAACAACTTTTTTATGAGATCCTTGGCCACCTGTAAAAAATACAGTTTATTTCAACTCCTAAATAACTAGAAAGTAAACCTTTGAGTAGGTTAAATATTGCGCAGATCTGTTAAAAAAAACACAGTCAAGGTCTAAGTTAAAAAAATACTAGAAAAACGAAACCTCGTTAAAATGACAAAGGCTGTTTGCTGAAATAGTACACGCAATTTGTCTTTTTTTATTATCCGTTAGGGAGCAATTACATTGTGCCGCAGAGCAAACTTTACAAACACAGTTCAAAGGATTAAAAAACATAATACTTTCGAACACAGACAGAATGCATATTAAACAAAATGTAACCTTAACCTCCATTTAAAATTTAATCTGAAGCCTTAAAAAAATTCAGAATCTACAGAGATCATAATGAAGGGTTTATTGTCAAAACCAAAATACTTGCTATAATGCTATAGATTCTGTTAAAATACAACAAATACGAAGAGCGAAAGAACGATATAGTCAATTTAAGACACTAACTTTAAACGTTACTTAGATCAGGTATATGTAAAATGTTCAAACTTTGAACATGTTTACGAAGTTAACTACGTCCAAAATACGTCACGTAAGACATTTTAACGAACATTTACAGTGTAAGGGTTTTAACGAGTATAATTTTTTCAAAATGTCTTTGACATTAAAAATGTTTATACACGTGAGGAGGAAAAGTCTATACAAGTTAACGATGTCTATTTTTGTGTAAAACAGTGCAATATTTTAACACTACAAGTACTTTTATATTCATGCTAAATACCAACTTAAAACCTGAATATTTGAAAACAATAAATTCAAAGCATTAAAGACTTTACTTTTATTAATATTCGTGTTAGTTTTCAGTAATTAAGTTAGATGGCAAATTTCGTCTTTCACTAAATCTCTCTAACCTCCTTCGGGATCGTTAAGCGGAGCCGAGTCATGTATCTTGGCTCCGGATAATTACAGGGGATGAGGGATGAATTAAGGAAAATTACTAGACGCGGCGCCTCGAGTTATGGCCTTCATTCTGTTTAATAAACTGTATACGCAAAATGAAAACGTCATTTTCTGTTATAAAGTTTATTAAATGACACATATTTGTCAATTAAAAACCAAAAAAACTTATTGATTATGACCTTATGACACTCTGGGAAAGAATACGAACCAAATATCACCTTAGTCAAAATCAGTTCTGTCGTTTTTGTTACAAGAGTGACATAGATTCAAACCCGCATTAGTATAAACGTAAAAGAAGCATTGCATGGTAGATGCGTGTGCGCGCTGTTTCACGGCAAATCGCACTATATCTCGGCCGTCGTCCATTTTAATATCACTTCTAATAGCGTTATTATTGCGTTTACAGTGAAAGTTTCCGAGATGAAAGTAGTCTACAGAATTGGTGAATTCTACTAAGATCATCCGAGCACAGATTATGTCATACTATTATACTAAAAACTAGATTTTTAATTAAACAATATTGTGTCCTGTCTATCAATGAACGTAATTCAATATTTGAATAATGTCGAGCGAAATTCTATACATCAAGGAATACTCAGACATCTTTAGTTAAATAGAGAGGTCATTTCTCCTTGACTGGTAACCTTCAGACGATATTGGGTTCCCGGCGTCCTAACTGAAATTAATACTACGCAAACTATATTTTAGTTAAACAGAGGCCGCAATACCCTTACATTAATAATGATTTTCGTTGCCCGTTCTATTATTACCATTATCATAGTCTAAGACCCTGAATACGCATGAAATTGTTTTCATTTTCAAAGGAATTTAGTGACAATTTTTATTAATATTCATATGACCTTGAAAACAGAAGAATAGCCTATTCAAATTTTGTATTCTATACAAGGGCTCAAACAAAAACTATTTGAAAACATGGTACATAGGTATTTTGAATGCATTCCTATTTTTAGTAAACTAGACGTCTCTACGAAAACTTCAAGTTTCAATGGTAGTCGATAGGCTTTGCTAGGAAGGTAATTCTGACTCTGTATAATATCCACGTCTCGTAAGTTGTAAGAAGGCTTTACTACTGTACCAAAGTACTGCACCAAAGTTCCGAGTGGCTCTATTGTAAACTTCGGATTGAAATGCGCCTCTACGTAACTTTAGCGTTGCGATAAATGTAAGAGAAAAATCAAATGTTTGACATAGTCTTTTCTCTCGGAGTTACACTAAGGTAATTGAAACTAATTTCTCCGTTGTCTTATGTAGAGTTTTCACTGTCAAAACATCTATACCAAAACTTTTGTTATCTCAGTTTTCCTAGAGCGAAAATATATATCAGACTAATATTATGAATGCTAAAGTTTAGATGGATGTTTGTAAGAGTTTGTAGCCTAAACTGCTACACGGATCTCAATTAAAATTTGGCATAGATGTAGAGGATAGCCTGGAAGAACATATAGGCTACTTGGTTTTGGTTTTTTTAATACCACGCGGGCGGAGTTGCGGACGAAAGCTAGTTGTAAATAAACAAATACGATACGTTCCTAGTGTGATTAGCATTAATGACGCGCGCAAGAGCCAATGGACTGCATCTTAACACAAAGTGAATGTGTCACACGTTACTTGCAGCTTATGATGCATTCGATAAACATAAATAAAAAGCTGATCAAGCTATCACGATACAATACACTGATACAAGCTGAAAAATGAGGACTATGAGATATAGCTTAAAGTATTGAAAAATTACGAGCAATCTGATCCGCAACGACAACTGCCTTTATAAAATTATATGTTTATAAGTTACCGTAATGTTAGTAAACATGGGATCCATCCAGGAAAGCATTTATAAAGAAAAACAGAAAGTTTGTAAAATTACCGAAAACAATTCCAGGCAGGTATTCACTTGGTCATTAGCGATGATCAGCAGACATCACGCCCTGAGAACAAATAAAATAATGTTAACATTGCAATTTAGAAACAACCCAGAAAAAGGGAATCAGTTGAGTATAGATATTTCTGCAACAAAAATTAACCACTTCAACTTTCATACAAATCTACTAAGGCGTTAGTAAACATCCCAAACAAGCAGACAGGGCGTTCTATCGAAGTCGGTGCTATACACCCTTGATTGATTATCCGTGCCCCGACCTTGGAATTGGAAAGGCACAACTGTGAAATATTGATTTAGTTCGTATCGAGTTTGTCAATTACATCTAAGGTTTTGTAGTGATTTAGTAACAATAAACAAAAACATTTTAAGACATCAACAAGGATACATTTAACCATGTAAACATAGCTTTATTAACTTCTTGTTATTAAAAACGCGCGTGTAAAGACAATGAACCAAAACAAACACCGACCTACAGAGAAACCGGTCCGGCTTCCTGCAATCCTGTTATTTATTCACGATACGCTTTGCTAACGTGCCAACATCGTAGAGGTCAAAGTCACACGGAAATTTCGATCATCTTCAACTTGTCACTGCGGCGGCCTTAACTTGTATTCATTGAAATATATCTAGTTGTTTCCTTGCATATTATTTAAAGAACATTCCGCATCCGAATCATATCTATGTTCTCAACTCTCATATTTTAAGATCAAATACAATAGAACAGATGGAATCTAAACAAATCTTAAACGTTTAAAACATATTACCAGACCTTGAAAATTATGGTACGTAGATTGTGGTAATCGTTTTTTTACTTAAGAACCGCGTGACTCAAAGTACATGACTAGAAGTAGACTGACAAAGGGTAATAGTTGCGCAACGAACAAGAACAAATAATAATTGTCTTTTCATACAGAAGTTATAATAGCACGATTGTTCTTTGATCTAATAGCATCAACAAGATTATCAGTTAATTAACAATGAGTAAGGTCTTTAACAACTACATTATAAGGTGGTGGATAACAGTGGCAGTGCCCGTTTTAACATCTTAGCACTGCAGGGCCGGCACGCCCGGTGCAATACGACGAACACACAAAAGACAGGTTCCTCCGACTCTGACTCCTCCTCCATTTTGGCGGATTCAGGTGGCCGCTTGCTTGTTTGCCACCATATGTTATAAAAAAAAGGTAGAAAGCGGCTAGGGACCAGAACCTTAAGAGCTTGACTTCATATTTCTGTGTAACATTTTGCTACAACTGTAGACTTAAACTGAATTCGAACATCTTTCATATTTTGCACGTTACATTATGGCAGATCAGGAAAAACCGAAGGAATACACATGATTCATTAGCGCTTTGAGAATACAAATACAATATTATAAAACATTTTACGTGCACTAACACTAATAAATACTGGAATCCTCTAAAATCCTATCACTTTCTGAGGTCTAATTATACGATAAAATATTTGTTTACTTAAGGGACTTTTAGGTACAATATTGCTTACGTATTTCGAAAAATACTTGTAACTTTGTAATAGAAATTACTTCTTACGAAATTGCGTTCAGGCAATTTCATTTAATTTGTACCGACAGCGGAAATTGTTCGAGTGGAAATTGTATACGCACTTCGATTTTCTTACCCCTAAAATTTACTCAAGATTTAATTCAATATAGCAATTTCATTAAAGTAAAAAGGAAAGACGGAAACCAAAAAATGGTTAAGATACCAGTCACTGCGAAAACTACGTAATTCAAATAACTAGAAGACCTTCGGGTACGGTTCTAAAGACAGCTGGGACAGAAGAGAGAACAGTCTCTCTTCTTCTTCTTCTGACAGCACAAAACGAGGTTTCTTAAGATCTCTATATATGTTAAAGTAAACAGGGTAAACAACACTAATTGTTACTAGTGTTACGAGTGAACAAATTTGATGCCTTCAATAATTAAAAATTCAAACTTAAAATATACAGAGCTGTCGTACACAACTTGAAGCCTAAAGATAAGGCTAGAACATTGAAAGTCATTTACAATTAGCGGAGGTGATTAACATCCTAATTAGTGTTCTTGTAGCGAGCAAAAAGTTACAAACGTTTCATTTCCACCGACTGACCTCGAGGGCTTGCGAAAACAAGATAAGCAAAGCAGTCCCCTCATGCCGACTGTGGAATATAATACAAAACTGGTTAACATTTTACTCAACCTTACTAAAAATACAAATAATGTAAAACCGTGTGAAGAGTTCCATCTCTTCTATTTTCTAACTGGTTTAACATCAAGGGTTCAATTTATCAAAGGTGTAAACATACATAAAATAAATATCCGTTCATTACGGGCATCATTAAGGCCCGTATACACACGAGCCACGAGCAGAGCCATGAATCATGGTAAGGGTGAGGCAATCAATTTCTCGCTAAGAACGAGTCATATTTGAAACTGACACTATAAGAGATTTCACGGCGAGAAAATTCATCATAGAAATATCTGAGAGTTCTTCCCTGATCAAGTATTTAAAAGGCGAAAGCACATTGAACAGTTCACAGTAAATTGCTTTCTATAAATGAAAATAGATTGTTCGAATCTTAAGATATATCGTAGGAGCTGCGGAACTGTACCATTCTTATCGAACCAGAATGTGGAAAATTTAATTCAATTGAACATCTTAAATAGGTTTTGTAAGCACCACTAACCTATTAGTTAAGGGTTCGAACGAAACGATATGTAGTCGAGAGTTCAAATCCACCATTCTATTACCAATAAATACTCATTAGGTATATTACACTAGCTTTTGCCTACGCCTACAAGATGTGTCAGTATTGACATTGTTATCTGGGTTTTTGGTGGCTCTTATCCCACTTAACATTCACAAGCGAGTAAATTGAAAAGCCTCGTTAAAACTCTGCTAATTTAAGAACTCAGAACTCTCATTACTTTTAATTAAAATATTTATAATCTTGTTCTTTTGAATGGGGGAAAAGCCTTTCAAACATGCCAAACTTTTCAAACCAGAGGAAAATTTATTCAGCAAATATTTTCATTAAAAGTATTAAAAATAAATTGCAAATACACGAAGTATTTTACTGCTGCGGTTTATGTTAAAAGAAAATCACGTATTACAAAAACAATTAACTGAGAACTGTTTGTTTTTCGCTAATTAATAATGCCAGGATAAAAACATAAATTTAATTTTCATTAGGAGGAAATATGCAAACATACTCGTCATATTGTAAACCCCAATTGGGTTATCCGAAAAACCTTCCTCAAGGGCTACCGCAATTCAATATATGATTTAACTACCATTTGCCAACGACTTCGTCTGCGCAGAATGTAAAAAACGATTCACTTATTCTTAAAAATTGCCTTCTAAATGAATAAAGTAATAAAAGGTTAAATTACTTCCGCTTACTCTATAATAGATTTCTATCCGAGAGGAAATTTATTCGGTGATTTCGATTAACATCTATTCTATTATGTTTTAACTCAAAATTAAGTGCTAAGTATAGCAATTCAAATCTTCAATAGAGGGTCTATCACGAATATTTGAGTGACAAACGAGAACGTATTCGTATGACATGAGATTTGTTACAAAAATCTCGATAATACGTTACGAAAACGTACTTACGAATATTCGTGATAAGCCCTCTGTCTAAACTCTGTAAATAGCTATTGTGTTAATAATAAGTCTTGAGTTGCATAAATCACCGGAAACATCGTAACATCAAACTACAATGTAAGCAACCAAATTATGTGCATTTTCCGGTCGGACCGTTTTTTTTATTACATGATTTTCAGCCGCTACAATCCGGTTTTACAGTGTAAGAATATTGTAAACGTAAGATTTCGAAACAATAAACATCAGTTTTATTATAATAAAGCAATTGGTACGATTACATTTACTTATGTAAAAATATTTCTTATTGCATCGCTAATTGTTAGCTGTTAGTTTTCCAAATGCAAGCTAGTTCATACTACGTTCAAACCTATAAAATATAACAATTTTTTTATTTGCTTTTAAATTTGCGCGCAGTATTTATTTAAATAAATTGCATTATAATAACCATACCACTACAAACGTAACTAATTGAAAAAAATCAAATTACCGTTTCAAGACAAGAAAAAGGACTTCTCCGGTAATTAAACAATAACAAACAATAGTACAGTCACGAATAATTTAGCACACACAAAGTTTGTTTTCACAAGAATAAGATTCGCACCAGTCCGATAAAAAGTATCAGGCAGTAACACAGAGGCGACCGTCCTCAAAGAGCGCCAACCTGCGACTGGCCAGTCAGTCTGCTAACCATCTCGCTGACACATCCAATGTCACTGTACATATATTAGATGCTATTAATACATAATGGATATCCATTTACTTATCCTATAACGTCAAACAAATGAGATCACGAAGCCTGTGATATGCAAAATAGCTAAGGATTTCGCTAAGCTATTATAAAACAATTAGTTAGTTACCTTTCATCTTTAAAAAAATAATAAAAAACTAACATCATTACAGAAAAATCTGTTTTACATTGTTGTACTAGGACAACAGACAAATAGAATTAACCAAGTGAAATGTTTTGTAATGCGAAATTTGAACGTGTTTTTTGACGTTGAAAGACTGCATTGTCCTTGACCCACCTCTACAGCACACTCTTATGTCAGCCTAATTGAACCGCTACTCTGCTTGTATCACATTACTCTAATGAAAATTGATCACGACCATGCGTACTGCCTATCGCATACATTTCATCGATTCTGTCGATTTCCACTGAGACACTGATATACAACACATTGACATCTCCGTCTAAATCGCAGTAAAAAATAGATAACAATAATTAGATGTTACGCCACGAAAACTGCATATCCGTGTTAACCCCCTTAGACGGATGACGTAAAAGAAGCGCATAATGAAAAACCACCTCAAGTTTCTTAAAGAACACTTTAGTCAAACAGCAATAGATTATGGAACAAACTAGCTTTAATTTGTGTAATAACCGGAGAACTTTCACCCGGTCATGGTGAGTTAACGCATACAAAAGTATAGCACGTAA